ATATATATTTATATATATATTATATTTCACTTGTGCATATCAGTATATGTATATATCAGATTGTTTCAAGTGCAGGATTATCTAAAAAAAAAACATGTCTAATCAATAAAATATACATTTCTAACGTGACAGTTATTTTACTCACAGGAGCACCAGGTTCGCCGCTCGGCCCGGGTTGACCCTGTGGAACACACACATCAGCGGTTGGTTTGACTAAATAAATGAAGTGTTGCACTGAAGCTGGAGTCACATTTGAAAAGTCATTAAGGAGAATCTTTATAGAAGCAGTGATTATCCTTTTCTCCTCTCATGAGTACATCATCAGTGTCACGCTCTGCATCATTACAGAGCGCCGCTCTATTATTTATTGACCATTAAGGAGTTACATATTTTAATTTCACCCACAATGGAGCGTGCCGTCTAAGAAATGTGCTCTGATTTTGAAACACTTGCCTTCGGCCCAAGCCTCCCGATGGGACCGCGGTCGCCCTTCGCTCCAATCAAACCCTAAAAAACAAGCGGAGAACAGAAGAGTTATGAATGAAATTTAGGAAGAAAAACAATAGGGTAATAAACAATAGAAACACCAGTTCATAAGTGTTGATGGCCTAGTACACTGGACAAGGGTCTAATCAGACTTTTGATTGAAGCTGACACTGTTCCTGTAGGTAATTAGGATTCCTAATCTGTGACTGACATTCCAGGCTGGATTACTGCTGAAGGTCTGTAATCACGTGGACAGCTATCCTGCGTTTTCACCCATTACAGAGCAAAAACATATGTTCAGGTTTATCTCCACTCACATTAAGATTTTTGTTTAAAAATGATTTCATAATTAAAGTACAGTAAAGACCCAAACCTGTGTTCTTATATCAAAACATAACTATCATGACCACACAACGCAGTCCTAAGCTTAGTCCTCTTGACCTGAGATGGAAACGGTAATATGTTTTATTTATTTTTAAATCACTAATTCACACATTAGTATTAACAATCTATATAATTTAGATTATATATATATATGTGTATATATATATATATATATATATGTGTATATATATATATATATATAACTTTGATGCTAACATCACCTCAATAGTACACGGGATCAAACCCATTGCAAATGAAATAATAAAAAAAGAGCAGTACAGCTGTATATTTTAGCTTTTCTTTTTGAATCTATCTTAAATAATAATTTTTTAAAAATTAAACGTATGTATATCATAAGAATACTGTGGAGATTAAATTGTACTTTTATCTTTATCCCCCCTCCCCAGTTTCTTCTTCTTAGTCTGCTTTATTTCAGTCATATCCATCCATTGCTTCCTGTCTGTGTTGGTCTCATATTCAAATTTTAAATTTGAATATTTCACACATTTGTTTACGTACATCAATGCCATTCTCTCCCGGTGCTCCATCAGGACCTGGTTCTCCTGGCTCTCCTTTTTGCCCCTATGTAAAAAAAAGAGATAAATAAGAAAAACATAAAAATAAAACACATGTTTTGCAGAGATTAAACATTTCATAAAGTGTTTTATGTCAACTTACAAGTGGTCCTGGGGGCCCAGGTGGTCCTTTATCCCCCTGTGGAGAGATGGAAGCGTGAAATAGTCGCAGTGTTGATGTCAATAATACAGGAATTTATGCAGAATTTACACACTGTCACGTATTATCTACATAATTTAATTAACTGTAACATAGCTGACAAACAAATAATATTTAACAAACATATTTTATACATATAAATATATTTTTAAATACATGGCTGTTTCATCAAATAAACTGCATCATTTTACAGCCACAACTGGAAATTAAGTGTTTGTGTGGCAGCTGATTGTTTGAACTCTATGTAACAAGGGCACAGGTTCAAGATGCATAACATTAGATCTCTTGTATGAGGTCATAGACCATAGGTCAAAGGTCCCAGGTATGAAATAAAAGTTCATTATATATCTATTAAAATCACAGATTTTAAAGAGGCTTTTCTTCTGCAGCCTCTTTTTTTAAGGACTTTTTTTACGCCTCCACTTCTGTGTATTTAACCCTGAGAAATGCACAAATGTATCACATTACTGCGACACAAACTCTGGACTGAGCTGAGGGTCCTTCCTCAAAGACCCCTCTCTTTCTACAGAACAGAGACCCTTTGTGCCGGTGTTTTCATTTGCAGCGCCCTCTGCTGGTAAAACTCCAGTCGTACCGGAGACGCACAAGGTTTGATATTGTGAGGCACAATGACTGTCTTTGTGACAAACCTGTCAGGCAAATATGTGTGGATACTCACATCGATGCCGTCTGATCCAGGAGTACCCGAAGGTCCTGGTGGGCCAGGTGGGCCCTGTGGTCCAGGTGGCCCCCTCTGAATTAGAGAAAAGGAAAAAAAAGTGTTGTTTTTTTCCAATATCTAATAGCAACAACTACAATGGCTGTACAAAAAAAAAAATGAATTCAAAATGTATCTATACAAAATAACATTCTAACTCTCATTTTGAGAGTTTTTAATAAACTGTAAAATTGCATTTAATAAGTGCTCCATAACCTTTACAAAAGTAATATTAAATTAAATGTGACTGCATTTAGCGGGTGAAAACAGGACAGAGAAGGAATGTGGGAGGAGAAGTCATGAGACTGGCACTGTTTACCCTCCACCCCCACCACCACCGGCTCCTGACACCCCGACTCTACCTCACTGGTCCCTTATTAAATATCTGCTTCATTAAATGGCCACTAAATGAGATTAAAAAAAGGAAAGAAAAAGAAAAAACAACTCTAGAGTGACACAAATGGTTTAAGTCCAGTAGGTCACAAGTAGGTGTTAGTTTGGACAGTGAATTCCACACCTGGTGCACTATGTGTGTGTGCAGACTAAAAGTGGCATTCTGTTAAATCTAGAGACATCTCATTGATTTATCGTTGACTTTTTTTGTATATAAGGAAACACATATTTGAATGCTATTAAAAACAACTAGATCTTCAGATTTCAGAGTTTCAGGATTGAAGTCCAGGTACAGTAAAAGAATGATAATCCACAGAAGACACTCCAGTTCCCTTGACATATCCTCAGGTTGAATGGTTTCTTTTCATTTAGCAAAACTTGTTTCTTTATAGGTCCATCCATAAAAAAAACAAGACACAAAGGCAACACATATCCCATCACAGCAGCAGAACACCCTCCACATCTGCTGGTTCTTCCCAGGGGCCCTCATCCTCACACAACCCCAGAATAAATAAGTAAAGACATTATTATCAGAGCAGGTCTCAAGCTGTCCGCAGTCCACTCACCACTTGGGCCAAAGCCAGGCACAAAGTCTGCAGTAAAACCCAGGTCTTCAGGACAGCAGAGAGAGCAGCCATGGTCCCGCTAACCTGTCTGCCTCTCCTCAGTTCACCAAATCCACTCTTCTAGCTCCTCTTTCCACTACCTCGCTCCTCTCTAGGCCAGCACAGTGCAGGACTGGTGGAGCAAAACTGTCTGAGAGGTGTTGGGGGGGAGGCTGGAGGTGAGGGTGGTGGTGGTGGTGGGTATGAGCACTTAGTAGGAGACGGAGGAGAGCCGAGAGAGGGGAGGGGAGCATAGAGTGGTGAGGAAGGTGGGAGGGCGAACGGTGGGAAGGAAAAGGTGTTCCTGCTCTACTGGCTGTAGAAGAGAGAGAGGGAGAGGGAGAGAGAGAAAAAGAGAGATTAATAGAGAGAGATTAATATTTTCTTAAGATAAGTTTTTTTTTATTTTATTTTTTTTTTTTATAATTGTAATTATAATTCTTGTTTTTTAGACTTAAATACACTGTAGAAGAAAGCATCCTTATGCAGCAGGCTGAAGGCCTGTAAAAATAATCTGAATATCAGGTGAAAAAGAAAATATATATATATATATATATACTGTAGGTAATTTATCTCTATTTAAATTATATATGAAAAATAAGGATGGGATAAGAAATAGCAACCCTTGATGGTTATCCACCTACCGTACGTATTGGTTGTACACTGTACACTTTAGTGACATCATGTGGTAAATCCAAGCATGGCAGGCGGTTTCAAGCAGCTGTAAAAAAAAAAGAAAGGCGTCTGCTGTGACATCATCAGCTCACAACTCAAACTGCAAATGTGAGGCAAGGTATGCCTCTATCGCGCATACCTTGTATTACACCCAGCAGTGCTTTTTCACGTCTCCACTAGATGGCAGCAAACACCCACCCTCAGACAGCAATCCTCTGTGGCGCTCTGCAGCAACATCTGGGGGGGGGGGGCGGGGGGGTGCATATTCTCTCTCCAGTGGGATGATGAACACAGGAACAAGGCTGCTGAGAGGGAATGCATTCATTAGTAAATTGAGATTTATTGTACACAACAGGGAGCTGCAGAACCCCACAAACAACAAATTAGAAGTGCGCCTCATTGGTGGCTTTCTCCCCTGCGTTCCTTTTGCAGAGAAAGAAATCTGGAGCATTTATCACACTTACCCCAAATAAATTGATGCTTTTAATGCAGAGATAATCAAGTATTAAATATGTCCACACGAAAGATTAATTAAACATTTCAGAGTTTAAAAAGTAAAAGGAGAATCAATCTTCGTTCTCTTGCTAATCTACTCCCATCCCAAACGGTTGATCTGCCCATCAGGGTAAATTCATGGGCTGAAACCAACGCGTTTTCCAGCCTTGACATTCTACAGAGGCCATAATACGTGGACGGCAGTCAACCGTGGGACACATAAGGTTAAGATGGGTTATGTAATCTCTGGAAAAAAAGGAATCCACTCTTATCAGCTGCTCCTGCAGACTTGTAGAGATTCAATAATGTTTTCTACACCATTTCTTTCCAACCTACGTACGTTGAGCCCATTGACAAACTTAAAATTTAAAGAATGCAAACAAAGTGCAGCACCAAACTAGGCTGTCACAAAATACATGTAATGCAGTACAATGACCTTCTCTATTCAATTCACAGATCATACAGACATTTTACCACAGTGCATATTGACAATCCACAGAGCTTCTGGGAGAATGTCCTTTGGACAGATGAGATAAAAATGAAGCTTTTTGGCAAGATACAGCAGCTCTATGTTCACAGAGGCAAGAATGAAGCATACCGAGGAGAACACGGTCACTAATGTAAAGCATGGAAGAGGTTCAGGTTATGTTCTGGCATGACCTGATGCACCGTCATCTCAAGACTATCAAGGCATTCTGCAGTGAAATGTGTTGCCTAGGGTCAGAAAACTGGGTCTGAGTCAAAGGTCATGGGTCTTCCAACAGCATTACGGTCCAGAACACACAGCTCAAAACACCCAAGAGCCAAACATTTGACTATTCTGAAGTGGCCATCTATGAGCTCTGATCTAAATCCTATTCAACATCTGTGGAAGGAGCTGAAACACGCCGTGTGGAGACAGTACTATTCAACCCTCAGACAACTGGAGCAGTTCTCTCACCAGGGGCCGGAACAGCTGTTGACGGGTGTAGAAGACTCACTGACAGCAAAAGAAATCGTTTGATTGCACTGATTGAATCCAAAGGTTGTGCAACAGAATCTTTACTTAAGGGTACTATCATTTTGTTTAGTTTTTTTTTTTTTTTATAATTATTTTGAACCTTCATAAAACCATCTTCCAAATGCCTTGTATTCCAGAATATCACAGGGATCGAATGCACTGGCTAGCATGTATTTTAAAAACAACAAGCTCTGCTGATCTTCTCACAGTTGGATGCAGCAAAGTTGTTGTCTTTGTAATAACAAATGATACCCCAGCCTCTTTCTACAGACAAGGAAAACATTGGCCTCTCCTCGTTCTCTTTCTCCTCCAAGCTCTTTTTCTTCCCCTCTTTATGTTGGAATTCCCAGCGCTCGTTCACACGTTCATCTAAAAATATCCATCAAGTTAATGATAAGATGCAAGAAACCTACTCGTATGCATTCTCCTATATAAAAGTATTGTCCAATTGAAACACTACGACCGACCAGGGAGGCTCCGGTCCTGCACTGGTGTTCAATTCTCGGGTCCCGCTGTTGCTGGGAAAACTTAGTTTCTCACAGAAAGGCCATTTCAGATCTGCAGCCCAGGTTTGGAATTCTTCACTTCACTCACTTAAAAGTGGGAACACACACACACACCCGCCGACCACATGAGGATGACAGACAGCGTAAATATTATTCTTGAGTGCAGGTGTGAGGAGTAGCGCTGGAGTGATAGGGGAGGTCATTAATGACCCAGCGGGGTCTGAGGGCGACCCTGAAGCCTGCGGTGTATCAGGCCTTCCTCTGGATGAGGCTCAGTTTACAGTGAGTTAAAGAGGGGGGAGGACGGGGGGGGGGGGGTCAACTCTGACAGGGTGATGATATACAGGCAGATGGTATTAGTCTGTCCAGCATAAAACACACAGCAACTCTCCCAAGGTGAAACTCACCACTCAGTCAGAGCCTATTGTAAAATAAAAGACATTTGATTTGAAATACACATTCTAACGTATTTTCCCCAAATCACAAATATACCTTCTCATCAAGCTTCCTGTTGTGTAATGATATCAGACTTGAACCTGATCTAATCTTGTGACACATTGAGAACCACTCTCGTGCAGCAGACAGTCGGCAACACCGTCTGCAGCACAGATTAAAATGTGCACTGTTAAGAGGCTGCTGACCCCCGGTCTTAGACTACAGGTTTCCAAGCAACAAAGCAAGGCATACGCCGTGTGTCTGAGTGAAGTCTGCACGAGTGGGTTCTATAACCACCCTCACAGATAGAGCATCAAACACATAGAGTATGGCTCTGTACAGAGGAGGACTCCCAGAGGATATCCCAGAGTGAAAACTTCAAAACAAAAATAAATAAGAAAGTAAATCACAAAACAGAGCCTTTGTGGTTTATATTTTTAAAATAAACCTCTCAGGTATGATGCATATTACACTTCGACACCACATATTGACATTAAGGCAAAACAATACCAATTTGCTTAATATCCATTATACACTAGCAAACTCCATTATACACAAGAAAACTCTTAATTTTTTTCACTTCATTAGTTTCCATTAACTATAATAACCTTGTCGAAATTTACAAAAACCACTGACAGTCAGAAAGTGTCCAGTAAAACCAGTAAAGCAACAAAACTTTGGTATTCTCAAAATGCATATGAAAAAAGATTGACAAACAATCTGAGGAATAAGACTGAGGAAGAACAAGCTTTAAGCATCATTTCACTGGCGGTTTTATATCTTCCTACTGATGCAGTTTCCTGCTTTCATTTCCTCGTTTCAACCTTTTTTGCACTCCAATAAAAGCTGTGATGACTGCGCTGATCACTACCTGCCCTGTGCCCCGAAAAATAAAAGTAGAAATAAGCTCTGGAAGCGCGGTAGAGATGCAGCAGTGAGCAGAAACAGCATCTATAGACTGTAGAGTTTATAGGATCAGTGCAGGAGAGATAATGAACTAATGGAAAAAATAGGTTTTTCTACATCACACACACAAACCGAGACACCCACACACAGCTCAGTGAAGTAGAAGAAAACACCGGAGATAACATGAAAACTTGCAAACTTGAATTGGCTGAAGCTACACTTTTGTATTCACCTTTATTGTCACGTGTAAATGAGCAACGACAGATTAAAAAGGAAGATTACTATTCCTGCGCAAAGCTAACAAATCACAAAATTATAAAATGACAAAGATGCAGTGTAATTGCTCAATTAAGTCTGGGTGGTACAAATTAAATGTTAACAATGCCACAATTAATCAGCTAAAGGTGTAATTAAATCGTATGCCCGCTGTGATATTCTAACAGCAGCTCCTAATTAGATTAGGTGAAGAACAAGGCTGAATCATTTGTAGCAGCAGTAGACACAGGTTCTTATCCACTTTTTAAGTGATATACAATTATCCTCAGTTTTTTACACATCCTCACATTGATCGTAATATTGTACAATACACTAAAAGAAACAAATGCTTCTGCATCGAACTTTGAGCCAAATCCCAGTAGTCAATGGAGCAAAGGCGTGATACTTCCTTTGACAACCGTTCACACTGACAGTGTTTAATTAACCTAACAGCACGTTTCTGGACTGCGGACCAAAACCCAAGTACCCGAGGAAAACCCATGGGGAGAACATACAAACCTTATACAGACAGACCGGAGATCAAACCAGCCGACCGTCGTTGCTCCCGCTGTAAGGAAACAGCAGTGACCAGTCATCCGTCTTCATCCTTCATGCTTTAAGTCCTGTACAGTCTATCAGTGAACCACAGCCAAAAAAACACACACACCTAAATGTACATCTTAACCTCAAGCAACCAAACATGCATCACTTCTAATAGGAAGAACATGAATGTTAGCCTTTTAGTTGGTCGACTTAAATCATATTCTGACCTGTAATTTCTGAGGAGAAACATTCAAAGTGGAAAGTCATCAACATTCCACGAACAACACACTCCTGAATAACACCAGATGCCACGGGCCGGTTTCCTATCAGGCGATGTTTTTGATCTTTGAGTATTCCTGTGGCGTTGGGTAATGCCTTCCATTCTATTCTTTCGATTTTATAAACAATGTAAGTTTATGAAAGACAGCGATTTTTAATTGTTTTACTCCGATTCACCGCACTTCTAGAAACAAACCCAACCAGGTCTGCTGTTCATATTAAAACTGTCAATGGACGCACAGACGAGGACGCTGTGAGTCAGAATGAACATATGGCTCACTGCGCCAACTCTGTTCACTCTCTTCACTTTTTCCTCCTGAAGATTCCTATAAAATGCACCAGCTGGAGATCGCTATCATCTCTTTTTCTTTCTCTAAGGCCTCTCTCGTATGACAACACTTGTTAGTTTAAATCTTTAACCCCAACCTGTACTTGCCCCGGCCATCGCCCTCCTTCCTCGGACCCGGTGAACTCTCTATCTCTTGTCTTAATTTGCGTTATCATCAACCATTCCACCCTTCCTGTCCCCCGTCTACCTTCATCCATCTTTTAATCTTCCACTCTTTCATTCCCAGCGATTCCTCCCACTTCTCTGAAAAACATGCAGCAACCTTCAGAACACCCTCACCGGGCATTAGTCACTGACATTTCGGACTTGATGAGTTGCCACGGCTGATTGAAACCCTCAGTGACCAGTGATCCATAGTGCTGAAAATACATCAGTTAAATACTTTACGTCTATAGTTTCTCAACATTAGGGCCCGGGGGATCTGGGGAGATTGAAAATAAATGGTACGGCCGCTCTAGATATTGCTTTGTCATATTACTGGTAAAAATTGTTGTTTTGCATTAGGATAAAGTTACAGGATACTATCAAAAATGTGTG